GGCTCGCTGCGGCTCTGTCCTCGGGCTGCGCCGTCAAACACTTCACTTTAGCAAGAGCTGAGCCAACGAGAGCAATGCTGTTTCACCAAAGTAGTTCCTAAAATCATCGCCTTTGAAGGAGACATGAACATTCTTTTTACTTATATTTTTGGTAACTGGGGATAATCCTGTATTTTCTCCTTCTCACTCCCATGTGTCCACTTATAGTTCAGAGTGCGACTGATCAGAATTTGTCCAACACGGTTGATTTAACCTGAAAGATTTCAGGAAAAGATTAAGGGGTGAAGAAGAGCTTCTGAACGCGAAATGGGAGGAGAGGGGTGTCTGCGGGCCTGGTCACTGATGTCCGGGGACGTTCCACTCGGGCAGTGGCAGGAGGGCGGGTTAGGGCCCTCGGATCCTGGGGCTGTGGGTTGAAATCTCCCTTCAACACAAAGGAGATGTGCCCGGGAAACCGGAGCCGTGAGAGCTCAGGTTTGTCGTTGGCGTCTGTGCAGCCTGCCTTCCAGACGATGGTTTCGCCTGGACAATGGCCGGAAGGAACCGAAACCAGGAAAACAGTGAAAAAGCATTCACCTCCCACTTCAGGGAGGGCAGGGGGCGTAACTAAGTCACGAAGTGTAATACTTCCAGGTGTTACAATGTTTCCATTTGCTCCAGTTGTTACAATGTTCAGTGACAGCCACATGTTTGCCCCGGCTTAAAAATAAATCAGCAAAGCAGGTCTTGGGGGCCTGGGGCCTGGAAGGTTTAATCCAAACAGCGCGGGCCGTGCACGCGCCTCGTTTGTGCTCGATAACGGCAGTGAGGTCCTCCTTCGGGTGGGGTCGCGCAGTAACACCCCATGTCTTCGTGTTCCGAATGACAGAATGGTTATCACACGCTAATAGGGCGTGCGCTCTCCAGAGCGCCGCAGCGCAGAGGTGGAGACGCGGACGTGGTGCCGTGGCCGCTGTCCCCTCATCGCCGCACGTGGCTCACGGTGTCCCGGTCGCCTTGTGGCGGGAGATTGTAGGGACGTCCCG